GCTTCCTATCTAGATAACGTTTATTCTTTAAGGCAGTATGCTTAGAATCGTTATCGTGTTGGAACCTGAAGCGTTGACTTTGGGCAAAAAGTTGGGTTTTTTTGTTTTGTTTTTTAGCAGAAAACCACATTTGATTAACAAATTACCAACTTCTTCTGCTGAGAATGCACCCCAAAAGTTGATTTTTTTATCGTCTTTATCGGCACCCATGGTAGTCAGTGAATATTCGTTTCACAGGGCGTACATCAAACACGTATTAATCCTTCATATCTCCGAGTAAAGGGGCTCTTGTCACTTCTCTTCCAAATCAGATTTAGTTCAGTGTAAATGAGCTTTTCCAACAGTGCCTATATAAATTTTTCTCAGATACGGAAGGTTTCTTTCTTATGTATTTCGAAACAATGTCTTTTGTTTTAAGCCTGCGTTTGACTGTTCTTGAAAAAACCCGCCAAACTAGCCGCTTTGGAAATATCTTTTGCTGTAGCAAATCGATCTTTTTTTGCATCGATGAACTCAGTTTCTACATTCCCTGTTGTTAGTTTTTAGCGTTCGGTCAGATCCACTACGTTCAATTTATGTTCCAGTTTGATTTCTCTTTTTTCATTAAGTGGCGGGCACATGACTCACTTCGATTAATCTTAACAGCTATCGATCTATTTGACAGTCCAAGATCATGAAAAGCGGCGACTTGGCCTTTCTCGAAGTCAGAATAAAGCTTAGGCATGTTAATAAATATAAATACAAATATAATAAGCTTTTTATGTCGTTCATCATCATTTATATGGATGCGTCCATTTTTGGCCTCGTAATATATATATATATATATATATATATATATATATATATATATATATATATATATATGCTTAATAATATTCCATGGTTATAATTTATTACATTGAAATGTAATCACGATTCAAATCATCAGACCTCCAAATTCGTAGGTCTGATGAAATGGATCGTGATTACGATTCCAATGTAATAAATTATAACCATGGAATATTAGTGTTTCAGCCTTTTATATTATAATCTTGTCTGGATATTGTACTCTACCTGTATTCTATCCTCGTGTATGTATATATATATATATATATATATATATATATATATATATATATATATATATATACCACTAATATTATCTATCTATCTACATATATATATATATACCGGGTGTAATGGTTAAATTTTCCAGTCCAAATCGTGTTACACATAATTATCCATCCCGTTTAATGTTTAATATCTATAAAAAAAAAAAAGAAAACACTAAACTAATTTTGTAGCATACTTACGAAGGCTAATGTGTATGTCCTCATTCCCATAAATACAGTGGTAAGTACTGTATGTTGGTCTGCTGTTGGAAATTCGTCTCTAGGTGTGCTGGTCAAACTCTCTACCTCCGGGCAGAGAGAATCCCCAGACGAGACCCTGTCGAAACAGCTACACGATCCCATTGTATACAGAGTCTACGGGGAACTTTTGGCCGATCCTACGGGCTCGGATACCCAACATTAAATTCGGCCTTGTGCCATATTTGACCGCGTGGGGCAGTTGGTAGATATCCTGCTTTTGGAAATTCATTGTGGAATTCACTTGACCCACTTCTAGCAGTTGACTACTTCTACGTGTCGCTGGCGAATCTTATTTGTTGTTTTTGTCCTAAATATTGTCGTTCATTACCAACCTTCGTGTGATTATTCTATTCAGTAACACTCCCTAGGTTACAGCACTAATTAAGTTTCGTTTAACAAATTTTCAGATGTCATCTTCAAACTATTTGTCGTAAGAATCACTGAAAAACAGTTTGTTTTATTCAGCTAGAAAAAGAACCGGTTAAAATCGTTTTGTGTCAGCTTCACTGTTTTCTTAGCAGAGTAATGGTGAGAGGAAAATATCATTCAGACCTTCAGTAACATTTATACTCTGGCTTCCGTCTTAAAAGTCGATTCAAGAACCAGCGAGAGAACGGTGAAGAAGATTCAAAAAGAAGAGGAACAGTAGAGAGAAAAACTGGATCAGGTCACAACAGCAGAAGTGTTCATCATTCCAACTTAGAGCTAAAGAGGTCAAATGAGAAATGACCCAAGCCAACCCATAAGACGTTTGGGACGCGAGAGAAGAATTTCAGCGATGACAGTTCAAAAACCTTGGAAATGAAATAGTAAGTCAAACGTGTGGGGCGCCTTGTTACTTCAAGACAGAAAGTTAGAAGGTTAGTGAGGGTGAAGATCATACTGAATAAGTTGAAAATTAAATTAATATGGATATATATATATATATATATATATATATATATATATATATATATATATGATCTTTTATTTCAATACTTTATGAGCTATGATCCTTAGCTATGTTAATTGTACATTCTTATTGCTCAAACTAGAGTCCAGTAGTTTTATAAAAATCCTGGGGGAAGACCTAAATTTAATGAATTTAAGCACAGTACTAAAGGTCTCGACGTTATACAGTTGATATGGCTAGATCGAACCGTAAGTTCTATGCTAACTGTTTCTTCTAACGCACATCTCGCTTGTTGGACCTTCTTTCTGTTTCTTGCTTCCCAGTCATGTTTGATCTTCAAAAATTTAAATGTGATGTCAATCGTTATCTCCTGTCTTCAAATACTACTTCTTTTATTGTTCTTTCTCTTTAATAGCGTATCTTCTCATATTCTATAACAATCAATCAATAGTCTTTTGCATCTTAGTGGCTTTATTGCTTTGCTTGGGGTGAAATGATTATATATATATATATATATATATATATATATCAAGTATGTGGTGCAGTTCAATTTACATTACATGAATCATTCATACAAAAAACAGATATAGAAGTTAATGATTTAAATAACGAGAATACATCTTCGCAAACAAATTTAATAAAGTACATTAACCCCGAACCTGTATATGAATTTTATGATCCCTGTTTATAAATTCCAGTTGCATAAGGTCTTTTTTAGTTTTTACAAGCTTTCGTCTGTTCCTACAGACATCTTCAGGTATGGAAATAGATTTGTTTTTGTTCTTTACTTGTCGGTAATAACAGGACAACGAATATATAGATGTAATCCGAAAAAATGGTTTTAGAAATGTGCTATTGTTAATTGTAAGAAAGTTTTTGGGAGCGTACGGTCGCAACGCTGAGGTTGCATTTTTAAAATTTAAGATATATATATATATATATATATATATGACGTGGCCTGACGATTGCATATAGCATGAAACAGACTGTCGCCTCTAAGTGTTGACTTCTATGTTCACTTTTATATATATATATATATATATATATATATATATATGAATTGGAAAGGGAGAGAGTTGAAAGAAAGTCATAACGTGATAGATTGCATGTATAAAAGACAAGATATGGGATTTAGCAGTGTCTGACCGATTATCGTTCGAAGGTGTTACTATTATTGTATCTGTGATTTACAAAGTCTCTCTTAAAACGGGTGATACAAAATCCATTTAGTGGTATAAGGAAGAGTATGAGAAGATACAGGCAAATGGCATGAAATAATGGATAGTCTTAGTTTTCAATACTCGGGGAACTTCTATAATTCTATCTCGTGAGATTAGGCAGATCATGAGAAGCTACAAAAAGTGAGAGAAAGAGAAGATCAGAGGCACGGGAAAAATAATATCCTTGTTGTCATTACCTCTGGACTTTCTTCTATGTGTGCTAACATGGCCCTCCACAGTTTTTTTTCTGACCTTAGTAACTCTTAAATATTTTTTTTACTTTTGATGTCTCTCCTCAACCCTGTTATGACATCTATTTACATAAACTCGTTAGGTAGGTTATGTGCGGTTTTTCCACTCGCCATCTTGCCTTTAATATGAAATTTCTTAATTATATTTCCCAGAAATTTCAACTGTCACTTCCTGATCTTAAGCATAAGTATCCTTTTCGCTCCCATTTTCTGTAAAACATCGTCATTGCTCACATTTTCATTCAATTCTATCGATATCATCCTTCTGGAAAACCACATTTCTTTTGTTTTAGGTCTATTTTTCATCTGTGAGAAGATTGTACAGCATTCACTGCCATATAAGAGGATTGGTATCACGTAACAGTCCAGTACACTTTTCTTTGTTTCTAACTGTTGAAACTTGACTAATGCATGGAATAATAATGCAACACAAAATGTACTTAGAACAAAATGTATTGAAACAAGAAAGTGTACACAATATTTACATATAGTCTTTTGTATATTCCTGGTAAGACCGTTCCTGGAGAATGTGTTGACTTAGTCGCAGTCGGGCAGAGTCTCTGGATTGAATCTCTTGATTCCTCCCTCTCTTCCCGGTACCAACCATATTTATATGGTCGGTACTCCACTATGCAAATTAGGTGGATCCTACCACAACACTAACGAAACTACCCTGTTTCTTAATAGTTTGCTTAGTTTTTGGAAGGCAACTTTTGCTATCCTTATACATCTTTGAATTTCAGTATCGTATTTTCCGTCTCCTGTTAGAATATTTACTAGATATTTAAAATGTTGTTCTTGATTTTGGTGTCCCAAATTCGTAGTTCGAATCTTGGGCTGTTCATTTTGCTGACAAAAAAACTCCAAATCCCCACCTCCAAAAAAAGAAATCCAGACTTATCTTTATTCCTTCCTTCTTGCTTTCATTTAGTATCTTTAGTAGGAATTCCGTTCTGTGGAATTTAAACAGGTTAAACTAATTTTCTATTCACTTTGAGAGACAGACATTTTTGAAGGAATGCTTTCCGAATTCGCTTAAGGTGGAACACGAAGCATTACGGTTCACGGAAATGCATCTCATTCCAGAAAGAAAGAAAAAATACACGAATCGTCGCTTCAAAAGTAGGCCCGAATAATTTGAACTCTTGATTAATAGAATGCTTGTATTTCTATTTTCTTGTTTAACAGTGATTAAAATTGTACAGCTTTTTCCAAAATCTAATTATTTACTTTTTTTGTTAATTTATCTTCGTTCATTTATGCTAATTAATCCACTGAGGCTTTCTTATGTAATTACGCTTGCGTGTGATTTACAACATGAAAAAAGGTGTGTTAATCTGTATTCAGTGATAAGAATTATCAGAGGAGTTTTAATTAGAGAGATGAGAAAGTGTTTTGCTAAGGGAACTGACAGAGACAGGCAAAGAGACAAGGAGGAAGGAGAAAGTAAAAAAGAAGAGAAAGGAAACAAAAAGAAATGGGAAAGAAATGATGAAGAACATAGAAAAAAAGAAAGAAAGAGAATTCGGGAGAGAAGAAGGAAAAGTAAAAAGAGAGGGAGGGAAATACAGAAAAAAAAGGAATGAAAAAATGAGAGAGGGAAGTAAGCGACTGTCGATAAGGAAAGATAAATAAATGAAAGAAAGAAAAAGAGTAAAGAAAAGAATGAAATAAAAAAGAAAGTGGCAAATGAAACGCTACCTGTAAAAGAGAAATGATAGAAGGAAAAGAAAAGTAAGGTAAAAAAATGAAAGAAATGGTACCCAGAGAAAATGTACAAGAAATAAATCAGGGAAATAAATATCACTAAGAAATAAAGATAGATAGATAGATAGATAGATAGATAGATACTAATAAATACTTAGATAGATAGATAGATAGATAGAAGGAAAGAAAAAGAAAGAGAAAAGAAAAAGAAAGAAAAAGAGGGAAAAATAGAAAGAAAGAGATAGCGATAAAAAGACAGTGAGAGCGTGAAAAAGAAAGAGAAAACAAAAACAAAATGGGAAATGAATTGAAAAGAAATGATGGGAGCGCTGAAGAACATAGAAAACGAGAAAGACACATGGACGGAGAAGTATGAAAGAAGATGAAGAGAAAAGAAAAACAGAGAGAAGAAGAGATGTAAAGAAAGAAAATAAAACGAGAAGGAATTAAAGGACAATCGAAAAAGGGGATAATGGAAAAAATATACAAAGAAAAAGAGAAAGAAAGGAAATGAAGAAAAAAGAACGAAAAAGAATCGAGAAGAAAAAAATAGTGGTATAAGAAGAAGAATAAGGATAGAAGTAAAAGAAAAAAGAATGAGAGTTAGTAAAAAAAAATGAGAGGAAATAAAGAATAAATCATGAAAAACACAAACCAAAAGGAAAGAAAGAAGGAAAAAGACAATTAAAGAAGAAAAAGTGTATGAGAAAATCGAGAAGAATATAAAAAAGAAAGAAAAATAAAAATATAGAAAGAAAGTAAAAGAAAATGAAAAATGTCAAAGAAAAAAGAATTAAATATTCTTAAAGATTTCGATCTTTAAGAATTCTTTAATTCTTTCTTATTTTAAAACTTTTTATTTCTTCTTTTATTTTCTTTCTACGTTTTTCTTTTTTCTTACTTTTTTCTTATTCTTCTTAAAAAAGAAAAAAATAGTCTTCTTAAAAAGAAAAATTAGGAAAAATGAAAGCAAAAAGAAAAAGAAAAAAGAAAGAAAGAAAGAAAAAAGAAAATGAAAGAAGAAATAAAAAAGTAAAATAAAAAAACAAAAAAAGAAAGAAAATGAATGAACAAAAAGAAAAACGAAAGTAAAAGAAAGAAGAAAAAGAAAAAAATTAAGAATAAAAAAAAAATATTGTAACTCGATATCCTAGAAATAAAATATTACCCTCCTGCAGGTATATATTCCGATATTTCTTAAATTGAACTTATCTGGCAAAAGGCCATTACAAGTGAGCACCCATAGTTCGCGATTCTCGGAAGATTTTGCAAAAAAAGAACCTTACTAATCATCCAGATGACCGTACTAAAAATGCAGGCGTTATTTTTTATTTAACGTGGCAGTCAGTGGAGATCGAACTCTCCAGACTATCTCTTCAGCTGACGGCCCAAATGTCAAGAGAAGAAAAAAAATCTTAAAGAAGGAAAACAGCGGCGAGGAAATGAAATCTAAAAGATAATAAAATTTAAAGAATTAAAAAGAAAGAAAAAAAGTAATAAGAAACGCTAAAATACATTTTCTTCATTCTTAATTCTAACTAATTGAATATTAGTGAAACGTTCTTTCCTCAATTAAATACCTAATTCGATTTAGCTGCTCTATAATAAACGAGATGAAATTGAACACATGTTTTCCCGATCGTCTTCTTCCTTGTTTTTCCGTCAAATATTCTGATTCAATTTGACCTGTTCATCTTTATTACTTTTGTTTTTCTTTTCTAACCATTTCTGTCTTTGATACCAATTCTCCATTTGTTTCCTGTTTATTACTTGTTTCAAAAATGATTTCTATATATCTTCCCCTATAGCGACTCTATTTTCAATGTTTTTTTCTGTTTTTTCATTTTCTTTTTTGGCATTCATTCCTCATCACTGTCTATGCACTCCTTAGTTTGCATTTACCTTCGTTTTCGTCCATTTTTTGAATTGAATTCTTGTGATCTTCTTTTTCTATCTTTACTTCTGCCTTAATTTTTTTTTTATTCTCTATTTTTTATTCCTTTTTCTTTTCTCTTTCTTTATTCCGATTTCTTTTTTTCCTTCATTTCTTCATTTTTCTTCATGATTATTATTTCCCTTTTCTTTATTCCTTCTTTTTCTTTATTTCTTCTTTTTCTTCAATTATTTTTCTTTATTCTTCCTTCTTTATTCTTTATTTCTTCTTTCGTTATTTCTTTTTTCTGTGTTCCTTCTTTGCAGTTTATTTATTTCTTTTCTTTTTTCCTTCTTTTTCCTTTAATTCTTACTTCTCTTTCCTTTTCTTTATTTCTTCCTCCACTTCTTCTTCGTCGCCTTTTACTCTCTTTTTGTCTATTTTTTCGCCTTCTTTTGCATTTATTTCTTCTTCTTTCTTTATTTTCTACTTTTATTTCTACTTCTGATCCTTTATAGATACGTTGTCCATTTAAAATTTTGTATTTTGTATTTTTTCCTTTTGTTTAATCCTAATCACGTCGCGTCTGTAATCCAACCAAAACACGCATCTCATTACTCGTCCAGACCCCATAGTTTTTTTTTCCCTCTCTTTTAAGCTCTTCACGAAAAACAAGTAAAAGCAAAATGTCACCCAAATTTTCTCGATAATCTTTTTCTTATTCTAAATTCGGGAGTTTTCTTCATTTGTCACACTTGACCAAAATTCAGAAAGCAAAACGTTAAAATCAGGACATTTTCTTGCCTGGTAAATCAGCATTCCAATTTTAACTGGCGTGAACTACGCAAAAACCGCAAATCCCCCCCGCCAAAGTAAAGCCACTAGAGCATGAGGGGTTACTGGGTGTGGAAGAATTAGAAAAAACAAATTAAGTATCTGTTGAGGGGTCCTCCCCTTTTTACACAAATGGACTCACCCAGTATATACATATACTACTGCTACGTGAAGACCCGAGAGACGAGAGCAACAGAGGGTGAAGGTAGCAGACAGACAGACAGCGAACGAACGTAGTGAGCAAGTCACCGTGAGCGAGCACGTCGACTCAGTAAGAAGTCATACAACGATACTTCAATACCAAAGACTATATATATATTTTACTACTAACCCGTATTCCTGGAACTACTAACCTGCTTTACCAGTTTGTATTATTACGTTAATACATTATTTTCATATATTCATTCCTGGCGTTTGTTATTTATTGGTACCGGATTTCAACCCGGAATCCACAACGGTATCAAATCAGGAGGACATTAGAAAACGATTGTTATTGCATTTAAATTTTTGAACATTAAAATTGGCTGGAAAACATGGAGCCGGAAGAGAGTTCCACAAGCGAGAAGTGCGAGTAAAGCATAGAACTTACAGTGATATCTAGCCAACTCAGTTGTATATTGATGAGACATCATCGCCAGTTTACTACTCTGCTTAAATTTATAAAGTGTAGGTACCTTGGCGAAGATCTCATCTGAACAGTTTCCATGTAAGTATTTATAGAAAAGGTACAACAAGGTTAGCTTCCTTACTATAGCTGAAACCTGATGTGATTGCGTTAATACTGAGAATGAGACCATTCAGGTGTTGGCCGTTTCTACTCTTGTTTTAGGAAGAAAATCCCCAGACGAGGCTATGTCGAAGGGCAGAAAATCGTCTCAGGAAACAGCTAGCCGACTCCGTTTTATACAGGGTCTACGGGGAATTTTTCGCCGAGTCTACGGGCTTGGATGCCCCATATTAAATTCGACCGTGTGCCACATCAAACCGCGTGGGTCGGTTGGTAGATATCTTGCAGTTGGAGAATCGTCACCAGCTGTGCTGATCAAACTATCTGCCTCCGGGCAGAGAGGATCCCCAAACGAGGCTATGTCGAAGGGCAGATTCGCGTCTCGGGAAACAGCTACCCGACCCCGTTTTATATGGGGTCTACGGGGAATTTTTGGCCGAGCCTACGGATATCTTACATTAAATTTAGCCTTGTGCCACATCTGACCGCGTGGGGCGGTTGGTAGATATCCTGCAGTTGGAGATTCATTGTGGAATTCACTTGACTCACTTCTAGGAGTTGAGTACTTCTACGCGCCGCTGGCGAATCTTATATGTGTTATTCTTTTCCTAAGTATTATCGTTCATTAGCAACCTTCATTTGATTATTTATTCTATTCAGTAACCTTTCCTAGGTTACAATAATAATAATCTTTTTTAACTATTTTCGCCGCATACTTTTGGCAATTTTTGTGCGAATATGTCCGTCTTTTTGCTGTAAATAATGTGTAAATTTTGTGATTCAAAAGATAATTAAAACTACATTTAACCTAAATGTAACATTTATTGCTGCTACACACGTGTCACCGTAAATAGATGGCTGTCCACTACCCCCCCAGACATAGAAGGTGTTATATCTCTGTCACTCACGGTCATGCCCAGATCAAACTCCAATAATTCATGTCGCCTTGCCGTCGACATCTGGTGTTCACACCCGCACACAAGACGCCAGATCAAAATTCATATATGTCTGCATTTCCATGACTATATCTCCACCTACCATTTGCTTTACATACTGCCATCACAACTTTTGACACGTCAGTTTATAAAATGAATTATTTTAATTAGAGTTCTGTTTTCCAAAGTATGTATATATTATAATTCGAACTAAACTTTATATTCAATAAAGAATTTGTTCATGAAATAACAGTTTACGTTCGTTGGCGTGACTGTCAAGCATAAACCATTATGCATATATACAAATTAATTAAGAAATAAATAGATATAAACTCCTATACAGATATGCCCATGTAAAAATAAATATATGGATAATTCTATAAATAAAATGTATAAGAGAAAAACATTATTAAAAAGAGTAATTAAGAAGTAAATTTTATGTCAGAATTTTTTAGATGTGAAATTATTATATATCTTCTACTTTGGAAGAATATTATTTTCTTGTTGGTCGTTCAACACCCCGAGCATCTTCAGGTATCTATCTTCGTCCTCGTTAATCTTCTTGGAATTTTGGACCGAACACTTTCCTCAATCCAAAGGAGTAGATTTTTCTCATTCTGTTTTTAATGCCGAGGAGACATTCCATAAAATTAATACGCACCAGACTTATTGGCCTTAGCGTCACGTGTTCGTTTTTTCACAGAAGCCGAATATATGAGTTCAATCCCAATGCCGGTTCGTACAGTTATATACTTTGATTCAACGAAATAAATTTCTTATAATTCCTCTGTCGAATAAGAGTTATATTTTTATTTATTTTTTACTTTTTTAAACATTTCGCCACAAGCAAGGCAATAAAGCCACTAAGAAACAGGTGGGTTGCTGAGTGTGAAAAAAGAATAAGAAAAAGAAAAATCATTATTAAGGAGAAAGAACAATAACAGAACATGAATTAAGAAGACGATAGATAAAAATTGACATTGCATTTACA